ACGCCTTTTTAACCTTCTTGCTAATGATGCTCGTCACGAACGTGCGTTCTCCGAGCAACTTGCATAGAGGGGTGAAAAAATGTGTTCGACCTCCACCTTATTCCATTCAATAGTGATTGCCGCGGTCTTCAATCGAAGTGTGCCGTTCGACAGGCGGGAGACATTCACTGAAAGCGTCGCGTTAGTTGCATCAACAAAAGCCCATATCATGCCGTTGCACTCAGAAAACCAAGTATTGACGGAAAACGGGGTTTCACGGACGGTAATGCTCAAGTTCTGCAGCAATAAATTGAGTTGATTGGGACTCGTCATCGTGAAGGAGGCGCCCCCCGGCGAAAAACCATCGATGTGAATGGCATCAATGCTGGACTTGGATGTTTTCTGTGGAGGGAACGTTATATTCAGTGCAGCCTTCTGGAGCCACGGAAGCGCCAAGGAAATGGCACTGGTGAAGAATTGCTCCTCCGCCATCAGTGTGATGTTGGCGGCATGAACTGGCAATAGCGGTGCCACGCGAGGCGACCCGGCCCACGGCGAAGAAGACGCAGCGACGCCCTCCGTCCCCGGCATGAGCGTCACGAAGAGGAGGAAAAACAAACCACACTGAGCGAAATAAATAGATATCATCTTTACGTACAATTGTGTCAATTAGTGCCTGCTGCCTCCCTGGATTCCTGTGTTGGCGAAAGAAGACCGCATTTGGCAATTGGACCACGACAAACATCAGAACGATGGGAAAATGGCAAATCATGCAAAGAAAAAAAAAGGGGGAAAAAAAGACGGCAATGCAAAAGCAAACGAAAGCAAAGGTGCCCCCCCCCCCACACACACACACGACAAGGCAAAGCAAACATTCAGGAAATCTCCTTTGCGCCACGTCATATCGGTCCAAGACGCGTGTCGAAGAGAGACAGACTGGAAAAGTTAAAACTACAGAAATGTGTATATCACAGTCCTCGCAACCAGTCACAGCAGTAAAACACAAAAAAAGAGGGATGGAGCTCCACGAGGACCGCATCTGACGCGAGAAATAAGCACATAGGCAGCAAAACCAAAAAGGGGAAAAAAAAGAGCAAGCTGAAGCGTTATTACTGATCAGAACCAACAAAGAAAGAACCAATCCGCAGCACCAGGCCAAGACAAACGACCTTCCTACGCCTCTACTAAAAAGCAGGAAAAGAAGAGGAGGTGAGGAAGGAGAGAAGCACGAGTGAGCGACAGCAGCGGTCGTAGAAAGAATGGCAATCAACAGACTGCAGAACACGGATTAAAAAGAAAATGCGGCAGTGTGTGCAGGTATAGCTGTGCTGCCGCATTTCACGCCAAAGAACGCATTCACCGAGCCAGTGCCGAAAAACACGTACCCCAACAACTCTCTTTATTATTACTATTCGTATGCTCTTCCTTTTCTATTATCCCTCTCGCTCTCTCTCGTGCATTCGGCCCCGTTTTTTTTTCTTTTTGTGTCTAAGTCCCCTCCCCCGCAGCTCACCTCACACAACATGTCATGCACGCATTGTGATTGTGAGACAAAACAAAACAAAACACACAATAAAAAATTAAAAACTTCAC